AAGGCGTCATTGATGAACGATAGTGAGAACGAAAACGTGAGTCTGGTGTTTATTCAGTGTCAACTGGGTAAACTGAGGACTATAAAAAATAAGTGGTGGAAATCAGTAATACCACACTTAAGTGAACAATCACGAATGACAAAAGATTTCACAAATTTATATTCAAATTTTTTTGGTGACATTACGTTTAGCGGCTGGTCACCCTTACATCTCGCGAAATGCTCCCATACGATCAAGCTTCTCAATTAGCCTCTATCGAGGAAACACTACTCACTGCCCTCGTGTGACGGTGTTTTCCCACCGAAGTGAGAGGACGAAAAGCTAGCATCCGGGGCAACAACCGGATCGGGATTTGGCTAAAATCCCTGATTCCAAACGAAACAATAAGGTTCTGGCAATGGTCAACCGCCCAACTGAGCATCGGTGTAATGGGCACCTTGGACGTCTGACCCCGTCCGAAGGGCATATGATCCGATGAGCTGGACACCGGCCCCCAATGGATTGTGGTTTTCACACACTAGCCCGTTGACTTGCAGGTCAGGCTTTGACCAGCCGAAGAGTCCGATTGTGAACACCCTAAGGACATTCATCTGATTTGGTCTGGGCAACCTGGTAGTAGTAAATCCACGAGCAAATTATGGAACGTTTTTCTTTTTATAAAGATTTTTCTACCATACAGTACAGTCTGAACTCAGACGTGCGTGAAATACATAGCGGCGCCAGATCAAGTTTTTAGAAAGCCGGTTAACAAAAACCTTTAACTACATTGGCATACATGAACAATGAACCGCTCTCAACAAAACTGAAAGAAGCTATCAAAAGTGCAGATACAATAGTTACCTTCCATAGAACGACGATTTATGTGGACGAAGAATATATTGTTCAAGTATGAAACTCCGCGCCATCTATACATTGGTCTTAGTTGTATGATTTCGAACAGGCTGCAACTACCATTCGGAACAAATACAGATTAGTTACAGATTGGTTAGCCACATTAGCTTTGCCTTGGTGATTGACCCCCTGCCCTATCTCATTCACCCTTTTTGTGTTTTTGCGTTGCGTTGTCCGTTGTGATTAGCGATCTTGTGTTTTTTCTCTCAAATCTGTTATCTCACTGACTATAAAAATCATTTGGACTGCAGTATGCACGTGTACAGATGCAGCGAAATGACCATGGATACATTGTGCAAACCCATGTTTCTGACTTCTCTGTTCAAATACAGATTCGAAGATTAATAACCTGTTAAAACAGTCAAGTGGATGGCACTCAGAATAATTTGCGGCGACGTTGGGGATGGGGGACCGCGTCGCAGATGTCCAAAATCAATCAAAAAATGCTGTTCTCTAACCTGATCATTCAAACATCGCATTGTTTGTTCCACCCAGGGAAGCAGCGAGTGAATGACAAAATCATGCACAAATGCCCGGATTCGATCGCAATCACCCGGTGTGAGATTACGGCCGTGTGGTTTTAGGTGACGGGGGCAGATGAGCGAGGGAACCACCATTGGTTTTGAACTCTCTGAAATGAGAGATAGAATGTGGGCAAGGTAGGATGAGATGATTTCAAAGCCAAGTTAATCCACAGTTCAATGGCATGAGATAAATTTATATACCTTTTTGATCAAAAAACGGAATTCCATTCCAAGAGAAAATCAAACATACACACACACACACACAATCGAGAGCTGCGCTCACGATTCCCAAAGTTCATCAAGATGCAAGCACTCAAGTCAAACGGTATTCAGTTGATCTTTAGTTACAATTGGTTCATCATACAGACTCTATCATAGGAATCAGCCTACTGTGATAGCGGGAGGCAGCTTTGCTGTCGTCCGGTTCTAGACCACACCCGAGCTAGCGGGGCCTTATGTGGTTCGCCACTCCAAGTCCCAGGATTTAGGTTGCCGGTTTCCATCACTGAATAGCAGGACCCCGTGATTATGGGGTTCGCCCAGTCTGCTGTTCACCACACAAATGTGTGTAATAGAAATATCCGCGAAGACAAGATTTTGTAACCGCATCATCTTTAAAACAGGAATTTGCTTTACCCTGGTTTGATTTCAATGTAAGATAAGTAGTGGATAATTTTGATCTGAATAAACGGCGGCCATCGAAGAGACCATAATGGCATAAGTGATAGGCGGGGCCTTCGAATTTTGGCCCGCATGTTTTGTGCCCCAGTGGATAATTTATCAACTTTTAGATCACACATTGGATTTAATCGTTTGAATCAAGTATTCTTTCATCGCATTCATGATTACGTACGCCCCGGAATTTTAAAAGAATTTGCAACATTGTGTTATCGCGCAAGAGTGGCATTCTCTATCAGTTCAGTCATCAAGTTAAAAATAGATACAAAAGATGCAGACCGTCTAGATCGGGTTTCCTCAGAAAACATCGGGCAGGCTGGCAAGTGGCTTTACTTAGCACAAAACCTCATAAAATATCTACCCTGCTATTTTCTCATCAAACGTACGATCATCATTTTGGAAAAATGAGCGACTTCATGAAACTGATAATGACGAAAAAATACCATGCAGTGGGGATAATTATGCTACAATAAACGTGGTTGTATCCTGGCATCAACGACTCTTTGGTTGTGCTGGATTTATTTGATTTGCATCGGTTGGATAGAGACTGTTTACTAAAAAATCGAGGCGGTGATCTAATAATCTACACCAAATCATCTTGGTGTAAGTCTACAAAGATTATCTTCACCTACAACGTAGGATATATCTCATGTCTATCGGTTGAATGTAAACCCCGTTTCCTTAGTAAATATCGTTCCATCGTGACATCAAACATTTACATGGCACCTTCCAGCACAACTTCTGCTGTATAGACGTTTGCTGACGTATTTATATCCGAACTTTCTAACCACAAGGAACGCTCTCTTTTTATTGTTAGTGGTGATTTTAACCATGCAGATATTCATTTCTTGACTTGCCTCTCTCTTCCCACAATCTTGTAAATTTCACCACAAGAGGAAATGCGTAGCTGGACCTTATGTTTTCGAACGATCCTGACCTGTTTGCTGCGCGAACTCTCTCTCTGGAAAACTCCGATCATTGTATCATAATTTTTTGCCAAAAGTCTACTCAAAGAAAAATCATGGCACACTGACACCTACATCCAACCGGAAGATTTTTCATAGACTGTGCTACCCGACCCACTTGGCATCACTGAGAGAAATGGT